GGACCCCCCCCCCAAAAAAAAAGTCATGTTCTTATTCATAGGTGCTTATCTTAAATTCTATCCCTTACTTGACAACTAAGTAAAAATCTATACATTAACCATTTTACTTTTCTGTTTATTATAGATCGAGCTGGAAGCATAAGTACTCTTGATTCTTTAGACTTTGCAAGATATTCAGATGATGGTAACAGAGAAACGGATGAGAGAGTAGCAGGTGAGTAAGATTGTAAACATAGACTTGGATTCTTTGACTTTCCAGAAATATTAAAAAGGCTTGAAGAATTCTCTTCCTTCTACAATATGGTATGTTACTATAATGAATATAATTATTATACGAAGTTGTGTTATTAACTTCCTGTTACTAATTACTAATTAGGTTTTAGGATTCTCCAGCTTCCTGTTTGAGAAGTTGTTCTGAGAGTTGTGCTGAGAGTTTTGGTATTTATATACCTCCAATTTGCTGAGTTTTCCTTGTAGCTAGCAATTTACAACCAAGTAGTTGTAAAACTGGTGAAAAACAGGCTTAAGTTAGCCATTGTGTAGTCCAGTTATTGGACCTTAGCCTCATTTGCCTTAATCCTTTTGTCTTACAAGTCAGGGTTATTATGATATTGTGTATCACTGTAACTATTGATTGTTAAAAGTTGGTTAAAATAGCTGCATTGTGGTTGGTAAATGAAAGTTGGCCTTGAGTTCCCTGTACTCCCTAGACACACAGATTTCTAGAAAGTTTCTTTCTTATGATTCAGAAAATAGAAGGTTCGTGCTGTTACAATAAGCCTTTCCAGGAACCTGTCCATGCCAACAAGGACATCTTTTCTAATTGTTTAGTTTTTCATTCCAGTCTTCTTTCCCCTTCTTTACTCCACCCTTTCCTTCACAGCCCTGCCTTGTAGATGTTATCATTGGATCTATAGGGACTTCAGAGGACCAATTTGTACTCTATATTCTGCCTATGCCAATTGAGCCCATTGGGAGTCTGCTGAAGCAGGGAGTTGGGGCTTTCATGTTGGAATTTGCCAGTATAAAAGCACTGGCTCTCTAGTGTGAATATCTACTATCTCAGTTGCTCTTTGCCATTAAAGACAATGTTGATTGTATTGCAGAAACTACTTTTTGGAAGACTTTGACTCTGAGAGAGATGGAAAAATAAAACAGTCAATTGGACTGTGCACACTTCACTGAAATAGAAAAGTTACCAAAAGGAACCCTGCAATAGACCACAGATAGAGCCTGGGAGGGTAGTATAACGTCAGAGCATGCCCTTAGTGGAGATTCATCTATTCACTAAATCTATAGAATTTTTTAAAATTTATTACAACAAGTTTGTTAAAAACCTACCAAAGGAGGCTGGGAAAGTGACTCAGTGGTAGAGTGCTTGCCTTGCATGCATGAGGCCCTGGGTTCTATTCCTCATCACCACATAAGCTGGAAGTGGTGCTGTGGCTCAAGTGGTAGAACGCTAGCCTTGAGCTGAAGAGCTGAGGGACGGTGCCCAGGCCCAGAGTTCAGGCCCATGACTGACATAAAAACAACCTACCAAATACTTCCCTGTTATGGTCATTATGGATAAAAGTATATACAAATTTGTATGTAGCACTTGCCCCTAACAGTGTATATTAACTCATTGATGACAGAATTACTATTATCTTTCCTTTCCCAGGTAACTGAGAGATTATATAAGACTTCAGTAGCAGAGCCAGGATTCAAATCAAGATAGCCTAGCAACAGAGTCCACAGTTGACTGCACCATATGCTACCTCTTGGCATGAGGATTAGGTTTGACCTAATTAAAAATAACATTCCCATAAATGATGTTCATTCCTTGCTTGAGATGAGAGATTGAATATTTAAAACCTCAGTGTTGCATGAGTTAAAACAAAAACTATTAGTAATTCCACAGAAGCTTAGAGAGAATTCAGCATATAAAACAACAGTAATATCAATTTAACAAGGACATCACTGAATTTAATGAAGCTCCTTGTATTAGATCATTTATTGACAAGTATATCAAAACAGTAAATCATATCAGAAATATCTAAAAGCAAATCAAGTATAAAAGTATTTAATGTTAAGATTAATTTATCCTATATGTCACTTGTAAAATTGTATTACCTGTAAAGTAGCATATGTAATCAGATAGTAGATATTTTTGTTAAATGTATAGTATTTAGTCTATATATATACATATGTGTATATTTACTTAAAATTTGACATGTTCTTTTTCTGTACATATTGATACATTTTGCTCCTATCCAGAAATTGGTCATATGATTATTTTGTTTAATCTTTTGAAACATATTTTAGGTTGAGTCAAATTGAAATGTTCTTTGTTATTCTTCCTAGCTGTTTTCATGATTCTAATTAGTTTTATGCATGTAAGAGCAAAATATTCATAATCTATTGATGGCCACATAGGTAGAAATAATAGGATAGTTCCTTTGACTCATACTATATATATAATGCTTTAATTCCCTGTATAATTTTCTATTATTTTGAGTTATCTGGATACTTCACAAATATATTCAGCTAAGAGTGAAATGTATTAAATGTGATCATTTTTACTTTACATTTTTAATGTGAGAATCTAAAGAAAATATCATACCTCTACATTTGAAAATACTTTGTGACTTTTAATTACTACACTGTATTCATATATAAATATATCTTCCCTAGAAAACAAAGATACAGTATACTAAGAGAATAGCTTTCAATCTTTTGGTGCTCTTGTGTTGTTATTTAAATCAAATGTGTGAATATGGATGAGGCTTTACTAAAAATTTCAATTTACTGAAACTCCCATTTCCCAAAGGATGTGTTAACCATTCATAGTAATTAAAATCCTTATCAAAAGACTGATAATTGAGTGCATCTTGTTATCTGACATTGGATCATATATAAATGTCTCTAAGTTTATGGATAATGTAGGTAAGAGAGTTCCTACTCTATGTCAGGTACTTCGCTCTGTGCTTTATATAAAATTTTAAATTTTGTTAACAGTCCTACAAAATAGATCATTCTTATTTAATAATTTAGAAAACTGAGACTTACTAAACCTGGGAAATTTGCCACTAGCATGAGCAGTGAGATTTTCTGGTGCTACTCTTTTATTACTTAGTATTGCTTTTGGGTTTTTTGTTTTGTTTAATTCAGAACCCATAATATGTCCTTTAGGAATAGGTTGTACCCCTGAGCACTGGAAAATCATGGGAGAAGAGTCCTGTCTTTCTCAAATAAAACTTAAGCTACTCACTGGTATGACTCTTGCCTGTAATTATAGCTAGTCAGGAGACTGAAATCTAGAAGGCTGCAGCGTAGTTCAATGGTAGGCAAAGTCCAAACGGTAGCATACCAGCCAAGTAAGTATAAAGCCCTAAGTTCAGACCCTAGTATGGGCAAAAAAAACCCTCAACTTACCCATTTTCTTCTCAAAAAAGTAAAATTTTTAAAAGTTTTATATCTTGGTATTTTCTGCATTCAATTTACTTTTCTTATGAAGTATGTATGGTCACATAAATGATTTAAGTAGAAATTTAAGATGCCCAAAACACCTTAAATGGATTTTATTTTTCGTTAGTAAAAAGCCCAAGATTTTTTAAAAGTATCAAGACATCCATGTTTCAAACATTTGAATTACTATAATTTAATTTATGCATTTTGAGTGTTGCTATATATTAAGTACTATGTTAGTAGATATAGAAGTAGTTTTTGCCCTAAATAAATTAGTTCAGAAACTTATCTGTATATTATAACACAGATATGTCCACTGGTTTGAAAATGCTGACAGACTCCTTGTTAATTTTAGAGTTACCAATACCCCTGTTTCAGGTTTAGAAGATCAATCTTTTACCATCAGAATTCCTGACTGACATTCTAGTATCACCTTCTGCTAGTGTGTAACTGCTCTAAATGACACAGTTCTGTGCTGAGATTTAGAGAAGCATAACAATTGTACTTTTGAACTTGTAGGGAAAACTACAGTTTTTTTTTTCTTTCTTTTTTAAGTTTCTTGTAAAGATGGCTGTACAGAGAGCTTACAATTATATCAGTAAGATCATGAGTACATTTCTTGAGCATTGTTACCCTTCCTTTGCTTTTCTCCTACTATCCCTTACCTCCCCATCTCTTCCACTCCTCCCCTCCCCAAAGTTGTAAAGTTCATTTCCAACATAGTGTCTTCTGAGTATCATTGTTGCAATGGGTCATTCTCTGTCCTTGTTTCAGCATTTTGTTATTCCCCTTCCCCTCCCCAAATTAGATAAATATATATACAACATGCAAGGTATCAAAATCAATACAGTGACAACAGGGACATACCGTAGGAGGAAGAACATACAAAAGCAACAAACAAACAAAAAGCCGGGCACCGGTGGCTCATGCCTGTAATCCTAGCTACTCAGGAGGCTGAGATCTTAGGATCACAGTTCAAAGCCAGCCCGGGCAGGAAAATCCGTGAAACTCTTATCTCCAATAAACCACCAGAAAACTGGGAATGGCATTGTAGCTCAAGTGGTAGAGCAATAGCCTTGAGCTGAAGAGCTGAGGGACTGTGCTCAGGCCCAGAGTTCAAGCTCCATGACCGACAAAAAAAAAAAAAGAAGAAACAAAAAAATTACATAGTACATTAAAAACAACAACAACAAAGTAAAACCTCTTGTGTCCATATGTTGGGGTTCATTTCGCTTAGCATCATCTTATATGGTCATGTGTACATAGCTTTTGAGCTTTTGTGCTCATCTGATAAGATTATCCTAGACATATACTAATTATTATTGCAAATAAGGGAAACCATAGGACCTATATTTCTTTGCATCTGACTTACTTCACTAAATGTGATTTTTTTCCAGGTCTTTCCATTTCCTAACAAATGGAGTGGTGTCATTCTTTCTGATGGAAGCATAGAATTTATAGATAGATAGATAGATAGATAGATAGATAGATAGATAGATAGATAGATAGATAGATAGATAGATGTATATATATATACACACCACATTTTCTTGATCCATCCATCTACTACTATTAAATACTGGCATGATCAGTTGATGTTTCCGAAGTATTGGAAACATTGCCCACTAAGTAAATATTGTTGAACACTTACTCTACATTCCGGGTCTTATGATGTTCTAGGAATAACAGTCAATAGCACAACCCTATGTAACCTTTATGATGCTGACATGATACAGTAAACATTCTAAAATGGCCTTCAGACTT